GATTTAAAGTTATTGATCTCCTCCTTCTCTCTTCTTCAGACAAATTTTCTGAACTATGAATCCTTGTAAATGATTTGGCCATCATCTCAGCCTTCTCCTTATTGGAAACTGCGGTTTCTTCTTCAAATACCATAACTGGATATTCCCACTGCCTCCTATCTCCCCCCATCCTTTTAATCATTCCCCACACTTCTCCCACCGGCGTCGTTCTACCTATTTCATCACAGAAATTTCTCCAACTACTCCTCTTTGCTTGGCGTATTTTTCTCCTAACTATTGCTTGAGCCTTCTTGTACTGCATTAGATGTTGCACATTATGTGTTCTTTTAAGCTTTCTGAAAGCTTTATTTCTGTCCCTTACTGCCTGTTGACATTCTTCATTCCACCAAGGCACCAATTTTCGATTTACCCTGATTCTCCCCTTAGGTATAGCTTCCTCTGCTGCCATAATAATTGCTGAAGTTATTTGATTGTTAACATCATCTATACTTCCAGACACCTCAACCACAGCCATTGCATCATCACTCAAATTCTTAAACCTTTCCCAATCAGCTTTACTAAAATTCCACTTAGAAATGGTATCTTCTGTTCCTACTTCCAATTTCCCACCTACTGAGCACAAGACAGGGTAGTGATCACTTCCCACTGTTGTTGCTGTCAACACTTCCCAATTAGTATTTCCAGCCAGCAAACTAGATACTAACGTTATATCTAATACAGATTCTTTCCCTGTTGACACATTTAATCTAGTTCCTCTTCCATCATTTAAGCACACCAATTCTCTTTCTTCCATCAATTCTTCAAGTACTTTAACATTATTATCTGTAAGTACACTTCCCCATACCGAGCTATAAGCATTAAAATCTGCACACCAGATTATTTTTTGTCTATCTTGCCCTGGTAATCTTAGAAGCTTGTCCAGCTCCAACCTCTTACATGGGTTATAATAATTAATAATACTAATTGCCCCTCCCCTTTCCCACACCTCCACCACTATATACTCTTGATCATCTCCTTTGCCCAGTAATCTATATTATTTCGGTTTCGAACAGGATGAAAACATTTAGGCCAAGCCTACGTCACACGAGCAGTCGAAGTCATGCGCAGTAGCCTCAATAGTATGTTGGGCCACTTTAATTCACTTACAAAATAGTGTGCAAAGAATGAGCGCACTTCTTGAAAAGTTAAATATTGGTGCGCTGTGCCTATTCTTCGTGCACTATTTGCGTAATTTTGTACATGATTTTATTTCAGCAAGCATAGGCTACTTTAATTGCCTAGTATTAAAAGGTACAGTGAAGTGGAGTAAAATACAATGTTTGATGAGACTAATCAGACGGTTTTTAATTGCAAAATTAATATGTAATAACAAATTTAAAATTGCCTAAGGAGCCAACAAACCAGTACTCAGGTTGTTTGCAGATATTAACCATTGAACTGTCAAATGTAAACACAATTCCATATTTTTTTTAACATTTCATTTAAATGTCTTGTTTGATCATTTAAGATTAAAATATGTAAAAGTTAGAACTAAGCATGCTGGTTTTTACAGATTGTTGTTATTGTTTCGATTTCATGTTAAATAGAAATAAAGTTGGTTGAATTTAATTAAACATAAGATTATCTCGTCCTTACAGAGATGTTTTATTTTTAAATACAGATGGCAAAGCAGGTCCCAAGTCCCTTAAGTTTTATGACTTTAAATGATTTTTATGACTTTTATTTTGGAATAAAATGTCGTCTTTTGTTGACGTCAGTAGCTGTGCCTGTGTGAGATTTTCAACCTTCTAATGTCACGTGTAAGGCTTTCTAAGATTTATCTCCTGAATCACGGTTGAGTCTGTTTTTATACATTTAGAGACAATGTTGATACCATTCAGAAGGGTGTTGCTTACTGCAACCCGAAAACACAACGGTAGACTTTTTTCGAAGTCTAATACCGCTTTCAGTACAAGAAAAGTAAGTTTCATAACTCGCTGAATGTCTCTCTGTACATAAAGGCCACTGACAGTGACAAGCCATTCGTGTTGTTTTTATTGTTATGTCTGAATGAGTTTATTTAGGGTTTAGTTCTTGGCGTGTATGAGAAACAGTCAAACAATGATGGGATACATCTCACGGAGGCTGCAGCGGCATTTGACAGGTCGATCTCAGGAAAACTGTCAGAAATGCTGTCGATGTAAGTCACTAATTTGACATTTGCATCCGTCTCTTCGTTTTTTTGCACCATCCGTTCTTTCATTCCTCCTCTCTGCTCTGTAGATCTGGACCTCCCCTGAAAAAAGGCAAGAGCAGGATCTTCTATGGTTTACATCAGGTGTGAACTCACCCCTACGTGATCTTGGCTGTCCTTAAGATGCTTGATGGCAAGATTAATATATCAGTAAATTCTTACAAAAGTCCTTTTCTTGTGAAGGATTTCCCTAGTGCAGTTGTGGTTGGTCTTGGTAAGAGTGGCACAGGTGTGTGTGGAAAAGAAAACTGGAACAACTGTAAGGAAAACATCCGTGCAGCTGTGTCAGGTAAATTACACAATTGTGTTCAGGTTAATCTGAAGAAAACTTAAGAACGTGTCGGAGTAATACACTACCAGTCAAACGTTTTTGGACAGAAGATTTTTTAATGTTTTTTTTAAAGAATTCTCTTACATTGTTTAATCCAAAATACAGCAAAAGCAGTAATATTGTGAAATATTTTTTATTATTTAAAATAACTGCTTTCTATTTGAATATATTTTTAAATGTAATTTATTCCTGTGATGACAATGCTAAATTTTCAGCATCATTACTCCAGTCTTCAGTGTCACATGATACTTCAGAAATCATTCTGATATGCTGATCTGGTGCTCAAGAAATATTTATTATTATTATCAATGTTGTAAACAGTATTGCTGCTTAATATTTTTGTGGATTTTTTAAATTTTTTATTTTTGACGTGGCAGAGTCTTAACTTTGATAAAGAATATCTCTTTGGTTTTGAGACTTTAGTCTTTGCAACTTCAGGGATCTTATCTATGCACAATCAGCTTGTAACACTCCAAAGAGAAAGGAAAACTTGAAATCGCATCATATGACCCCTTTAATATCCTAATGATTTTTGGCATAAAAAAAAATCAATAATTTTGACCCATACAATGTATTTTTGGCTATTGCTACAAATATACTCGTGCTACTTATGGCTGGTTTTGTGGTCCAGGGTCATATATACTGATTTGCTGTTCAAGAAACATTTTTTATTATTATTATCATTATTTAAAACAGTTGAGTACATTTTTTTTTTCATTATTCTTTGTTGAATAGAAAGATCCAAAGATCAGCATTTATCTAAAATAAAAAGCTTTTGTAACATTGTACACTATACCATTCAAAAGCTTGGAGTCAGGATATTTAATTCATCATATATTTATTATTATTATATATTCATTATATATTTATTATGAAATTATTGAAATTAATACTTTTATTTAGCAAGGATGCATTAAATGAATCAAAAGAGATGATAAAGATATTTATAATGTTACAAAAGATTTCTATTAGAATGATTTCTGAAGGATCATGTGACTGGAGTAATGGTGCTAAACATACAGCTTTAAAATCACAAGAATAAATTACATTTTAAAATATATTCAAATATTAAAAATATTCCACAATATTACTGCTTTTGCTGTATTTTAGATCAAATAAATGCAGGCTTGGTGAGCAGAAGAAAATTCTTTAAAAAACATAAAAAATCTTGCTGTCCAAAAACTTTTCACTGGTAGTGTATTTCACCCCAAAATCTAAAGAAATTAGATTTCGCATAAATAAAATTAAGAAAGAATGAGTTCTGAAGGTTGTTCTTTCTGCTTTCTATGTAAAAAAAAAAAAAAAAAATCTTACTGTAATGCATAATGTAATTGTAATCTGAATTCAGAAAAATACATATATGTGTGAGTTTCATTCAAATAGTTTGTGTTTTTCACAATACATGTATTGAAAATTGAGAACGCAGTTGTTTGTACAGCGGGCTGCAGGCAGCTTCAGGATCTGGAGGTAGCTCATGTCGAGGTGGACCCTTGTGGAGATGGGCAGTCAGCAGCAGAGGGCGCTGTGCTCGGGCTTTTTGAGTATGATGAGCTCAAAACCAAGAAGAAGGTCCGTGTCACGACCCAACCATATGGGAGGTATATAAAACACAGATCTTTAAATATTCATGTATTCTTAGGAAATGTATTGCATGATTTGTAATAAAGCCACACGCATGGCGCCCCTTACATTCATCCCAAGAATTCTGGCTCATCTTCTTTCCTGTTTCTTTGCAGTGTGGATTCAGCAGCATGGCAGAAAGGTGTTATGTATGGGGATGGGCAGAACCTGGCCAGACAACTAATGGAAGCTCCAGCCAATCACATCACTCCCACAGTGTTCGCAAACACGATAGAGCAGAAACTCTCACCCTTTGCTCACAAAGTGGCTGTCCACAAGAGGTAGTGTCAAAGTTCATTAAAGTCTGTCATCCTTTTCATTAATGATAAAGGAACATAGCACTTTTCTGTGTTTGTTTCTCTCTCATTTTTAAGGCCTCAGTCTTGGATTGAGAGTGAGCAAATGGGGGCTTTTCTAAGTGTGTCTAAAGGCTCAGAGGAGCCCCCTATCTTTCTTGAGCTGCATTACAAAGGCAGTTTAGACTCTGCACAACCTCCTCTTGTGCTGGTGGGAAAAGGAATCACCTTTGACAGGTAACTACATCAGAACCTAAAAACATCAGTAGTTGTGAATTTGAAGCAAATAATGAGTTTGTCCATCTCATTCTAGTGGTGGAATCTCTCTGAAGCCTTCTTCAGGCATGGATGCCATGAGAGCAGATATGGGTGGAGCAGCCACTGTGTGTTCTGCTATCGTGACGGCAGCAGCTTTGAAACTCCCCATCAATATCATCGGTCTGTCCACTGCACTAGACACTGTCCACTGCAACCGTTGGCACACAAACTAACCTCATGTTTCTTATTTCAGGTTTGGCACCACTCTGTGAAAACATGCCTAGTGGAAAAGCAAACAAACCGGGTGATGTTGTCCGTGCCAAAAATGGCAAAACCATTCAGGTATTCTCCTCTTGCACATATTGTACCGATATGCACACAGAGACCATGTATTACTGTTTGACATCTGCATCAAATGTTATTACTATGAAATAAAAATGTATCCTGAGTTTTTCCAGGGGTCTTTCAAAGGGTGTCCGCCAAATATTGTTTTATCTCTATCAAACTGAAACTAAAATATGCTTTAAACAAAAATACAATACTAAGTTAATGCTGAAGTTAAGTAAGATTTAAATATTACAGAAACTTTACAGTCATATGTTTGTCTAATCATATTAAGCATGGTACCTCTTAATTTTGATCAAAAATACAGCAAACTGTAATATTGTGAAATATCATTACAGTTTAAAATAACTTTTCTATTTTTTTTTTTATGAAATATAACTTATTCCTGCTATGGCAAAGTTGAATTTTGTAAAATTAGAATTGATCCTTCAGAAATCATTCCTAATATACTGATTTGCTGCTCAAGAAACATTTTTTAAAAATTATTATCAACAGTTAACAACAGTTTTTTTTTATTATTATCAACAGTGTTAACAACAGTTGTGCTGATTAATGCTTGTGAGGAAATTGTGAAACATCTTTGCTTAAAGTTTAAAAGAATAGTATTTATTTAATATAACATTTTTGTAAAGATTTAAAGGTGTTTACTGTCACTTTTTATCATTCTAGTGTCCTTGCTAAATAAAAGTATTTAGATTAAAAAAATAAAAAATAAAAAATCTTAACGTCCATAAACTGTACATTTATTATGTGATAATATATAAAGATCTATATTAACATATTGGCATAGTTAGCCTAATTTTTTTATTTTATTTTATAAACTTTATAAAATGAAATGCCATCAGAGAGCAGAGACATTAATAAATATTAAGTAATAAAGTAATAATTAGCCTAAAAAAATTGTCTTGAATTTGATGGTGTTTCTGCTCAAATGCCCATAGACTCTGACAAATAGCTATTCTCAGTAAGAAATAAAAATGAGATAGAACATTGTTTTTTCTTTGGTAGATTGACAACACTGATGCGGAGGGCAGGCTGATTTTGGCTGATGCTCTGTGTTATGCTCACAGCTTCAAGCCCAGAGCAATAATAAATGCGGCTACGCTTACAGGTACCAACACACAAGCTGCATTGATGCTTTCAAATAAACATAGACTCATCAATGGTTTCTCTCTGTCTTTGTTCCTCTGGCAGGTGCCATTGATGTGGCCTTAGGTTCTGCTGCTGCAGGCGTGTTTACTAACTCTGATTGGCTGTGGGAGCGGCTGCATAAGGTAATGAGCAACGTCACTCTCATCTGAATGTCAAAATTACTTGAATACCATTTTTCATTGGCATTGTTCTATCATATTGTAGGCTTTGTGGAAACTAATGTCTTCATATGTTTTTTGTATACTCCTAGGCAAGCATTATTACTGGTGACAGGGTGTGGAGGATGCCACTGTTTCAGCATTACACAAAACAAATAACAGAGAGCGCACTGGCAGATCTGAACAACATTGGAAAATATAGCCGGTACATATGAACACTCACACATGCTATTTCACACATTGTTTCATTCTTTTTTAATATGTTTGCACCTTCTAGTTCAACTGGAAGTAGAAGATCATGGTTTTGACTGTGGTATTATGTGAACTAAAGGCTATTGGGGTAGATACATATATAGATACATACATATACATATACAGGGTTGGGAGGGTTACTTTTAAAATGTATTCTGTTACAGTTACAAATTACTTCATTAAAAAAGTATTCAGTAACGTAATCCAAGTACCACAATATAAAAGTAATGTAATCTGATTACTTTAGGATTACTTCAAGTTACATATGTAAATAAGTCAAAAAAGCAATATCTAAGTACTTTTGTTTAACTAAGACTTTAAAAATAAAACTAATAAAAACTATAGTAAAAACTATTTGAATGTATTAAAAATCGTGTCTTGTTTCACCATCTAGATATTACAGGCCGTATATTTATATAAAAAAATAGCCTATGCAGACATCTAGTGGCTATACAGTTTAGTATTAAAGTTTTATTTTTATTATTATTTTTTATTTCTTTAATATGTACAAGTAAAAATAAATATAGTTTATACACAGCATTAAAAAATGCACACCATATACATATTAGTCTATTTAAAAATAAGCCTACATGTCGAAATGCATGTGAAATGCTTTCTTTCTGTATTTCATTGACTGATCCGGGGTGGTACAACTATGTTATTTCCTTTATCCTCTTTGAAAACAAAATAACTGAACTTTCCAGACATGAAAACGTTTTTCACACCAGGAAGCATCGTAATTAATTTACTGTAGCAGCGTCTGTCATCCCGCGTTTGAGGAGAATAATTGTAGATGGGTGTTATTTGCGCACGCAACAGCAGGCGGCTCACGTGAGTCAACTTGTCAACAGAACCAGGAACTATGCAGCGCTAAATATATAGCGTTATGTCAAAATACTCATTTATTTAATTTTAAATTAAACCAAATGTAATCCAGTAAGTATTCCCACTTTTTACAAAATGTAACTGTAATCTGAATACTTTGTTTTTGATGTAACTGTAACGGATTACAGTTACTAGATTTTTGTATCCTGATTACGTACCGCCGTTACATGTATTCCGTTATATATATATATATATATAATTCATATCAAATGCAGTACATACTCTGACCAAATGCAATTTTGGCTGCACTGAAACTCTTTAATATGTTTCACCCCAACTTCCTGTTTCAGTAGAAACAAAAATGTCTATATCAGAAAGAGAAATGTGTTCGCAAACCATTTTATAAGGGTCTTCATTCCAAGGATGCTCTAAATTGATTAAAAAAAGAGAGATTTAAAGTTATATTTCAGATTTTCTATTCATTGAACATTCCTTAAAATGGAAATGCATCACAAAATATTTAAGCATCACAACCGTTTTCAAATGTGATCATAATACAAAAATGTTGCTTGAGCACCATTTTACCATATTAGAATGATTTCTGAAGGATCATGTGAAACTGAAAAGTGTGGCAGCCGTATTCTACATTAGTAGAATATAGGGAGGGATGCAACGACAGAATTTTTTTTTGGCCGATACCGATTTTAACAAACAACTATTGGCCAATTCCGATACCGATATTGGTCAATTGCATAAAGCAGGGCTTAAAAATGAGAGAAAAAAAAAAAGATTGGTTCGCTCCGAGCAGAATCGGTATTTGAACGATTCTGTTCCTGCGTTCCTCTGTGAAACCCGTTTGAGTAGAAAACATACAGGTTACTAACGTTATTTTTAAAACTGTTTCTTTGCCAATAATAATAATAATAATAATAATAATAATAAAGTACAGCGTTTAATTTACTCAAAAAGAAAAAAAATCATGAAGGGAGTCTTGAATGATCTCTCTTAGTCATAGCCAATACAGCATCATCTTTTCTAGATTTACCAAAGACCAAATGTATTAAACAAAAGAAAAAACTTTCAACGCAATGTCAAAGAACTGTCAAAGAATTTTTTTCAAGATATTTAAAAATGTTTCAGCATGGATTAAAAAAAAACGCTACTCCTATAAGCGTTTTGAGAGGGAAAAAACAGCCTAAATTAGTAGGCTGTATGTTGCATTTTATTATTACATTCAGAAATAATGTAGGCTAAAGTAATGGTAAATAAAAGCAAAATTACAAACACAATTAGGCTATTTTAGTTCCCGTCTCTCCACAACAAATCCTCTAAAGTTGTATTTAGGCTAAATATAAGCATCAAGCCAAAACAAATTAATTAAAAAATGAAACTGAAGCCTACCTCTCTCATTCTGCACGTATCCAAATGTTTCCATATTCGCAAAGTATCTGGATGCTAACCTATTATTTATTATGTAAACTATAGGCTTCGTTCTTCACTCGTATTATTGACGTAAAACATCATCCTTCACATATAGGCTATATCTGCAGTGAGGCGCTGGTCACACTGAACGGCACAGACTGTAGGCCCCTGTTTTCTCTGTTCACAGAAACGCTGCAGGTGCGTGATGTGACCTTGTGTGAATCCGTGTTCTACACTGGTTTCAAACAAAAAGCTGCATATTACCTGCATTTCATTTTGACTTAAATGTAGGCCTAATGCTTGGCGGTTTGTGACATATCCTCGGATAAACTCTAACGCCGGTGCATTGCCATTGTGACTTACCGATGATAAATTTACACGTTTGCGAAGTCATGTTTGCTTATGGCCGTACTATGCCGTCTGACAAACTATATTTTGTACAGATTTTATTTTGTTTTGGCAAGTATTTAATTATTTTGCCCAGAGAAAAACGTTGGATTATGCAACAGACATGCAACTCGTTGTCTCCATGCAGTTAATTAATAAACCATCAGTATTGGCCCTTTTCATGCTATTTCCGATATGCAGATGGCTTTAAAATAATCAAAAATCGGCCGATAAATATCGGCGGCC